TACTACTAGCGTGGCACTTGTTACTACTAGCTTCTTGTTACTACTAGTAACGCTAGCGATGCACTTGTAATTACTAGCTGGCATGACATATCTTGTGAGCAGGGCGATTCATTCCTCACCACAGTGGGCAACATCATGACCAACGACTTCAGCAAGCTGGCGCGTGCCTGAAAAACCCACAGATGCAAGGTTGAAATGCACAAATACATGTGAACAGTTGAAAGGAAACACAAATTTCATCCAACACATGTTTTTACAATGTATTTGGTTTCTCGTGATCACTGTTGTCCATAGAACCATGCTCTTACCAAGTGTTATGTGGACGAGTGTGGTTGGTGTGGCCTGGCTGTTGTGGTCCGAGGTGGCCAGCTCCAACTTGGCGCATTGGATGGAAACCTTGGCCATCATTGCCACCTACTCTAATCGAGAATATCAGGCAGAGTTCAGCAGGGCTTGGCAGGGCGTCATGGCTAACCTCAGCTTAAGGCTCACAATTTTCATCAACTGGTTACTTGTCCACCGGACAAGCAGTGCACAATGGTCTAGCGCGTACTTCCTTTTGCTCTTTCGCGACAGTCGTGAGGCTTTGTGCGAGCAGTTAGCAGAACGTCTGGAGAAGGAAAAGTTCGACATCCGTTCTGCCGTGGTGCGCCGGGAGACGAACGCGAGAAACTGGGCGAACAGAGTGCTCCTGGCCTCGCTACTAGGAGCGATCGGACGCTACTAGGAGCAAGGCTTTGTTGAGGGCCGTGAGGTTTCGGGGCGAGGCCATGGCGAGGCCACTGTTGTAGCTGCGCCGTGTCATTCGTGTTTCCGAAACATTCGCGATTGGAGACATTCATGTCATTAGTTGGAGGACTCAAAGGTAGTAACAGGTGCCTTACTAGTAGTAAAAAGAAGCTATTAGTAACAAGTGCCACGCTAGTAGTAACAGGTGCCTTACTACTCACCTTTGCAAAGAAAGAAATGGAACTGCGAAACAAGGGAAGCAAACCATTTTGACCGCTTGGGCCCCCGCGCAGCGCAGATCTGCTACATTTGCGCCAAGAACTTCCCAAAGACTGTGAACATTTGGTCCAACACCCATGTGGCCTCACAGGTGCACAGTCGGAATCTTTCGAATTCATTGGAAGAGTTAGAAGAGGTATACATTTTAGGCCTTTCTGGGATTGTAAGCAAGCGTTCTGGCGTGTTACCCTGTTCAGTTGAAGACCGATATCAGTCGTCATCAGTCGTCACACGTGACACTCCGTGGCCCAGGGATCTCAAAAGTTGGCCTTGCAAGATTTGGTGGAGAACTCGGAAGCAGACTGGAGGCCATCGCTAGTAGGTTGGAGGCCATCGTTATTTGGGGGAGGCCATGGCTACTAGAAACAAAGAAAGAAGAACAGGAAGAACGTGTTAGTATAAGGGAGAAGAGACAGAGAGAGGGCAGACACGGAGATCTGAACGCTTTCAAGTGTCACTTGAATCGGAAGAGATAATTTCGGATCGAATCTGGCACGAGGTTGAGAAGATGGCGGTGCTACAGGATGCAACTAAGTTCAATCAGGCGACCTGGTTCAAGTCACTAGGACGCTACTAGGAGCAAAGGGCATCGCTACTAGGAGCAAGGACGCTAGTAGGGGCTCCTGGCATCGCTACCAGGAGCAAGGATGCTACTAGGGGCGCTCCTGGCTTTACTAGTGACCTGGTCCAAAGCTAAAATCATTTCTTCCACCCTGGTAGCTTCTTGTTTCCTGTCGTAAGAATGCTCCTAGTAGTGAGGCCAGGAGCCCCTAATAGCCTCCTTGCTCCGTTCGTAGCGATGCCAGGAGCCCCTAGTTGTGATGGCTTATCACACCTTCCGAAAGTGCCAGGCGGACCCCCTCTTTTCGCAGAAGCTGACGAAGTGCGCTGTGATTTTGGTTTGCAGCGCTGTGGACCGTTCCTGGTTTGCCTGTTGCACTGTGTCTGACGATCCGAGGATTAGTGCTTTAAACGCTACTAGGTTGGAGGCCGCTCTTACATTGCTTCTAGGTTCTTCATTCTGAACTTGTTAATTTTGTTGATTAGGCAATTCTTGGTCCCTTACGTTCTCCATGAACATCCTGAGATAACGGAACGCCCTTTGCAAGTACGATTTTGGGTTCTGACTTTTGGTGTCGTTGGAAACCGCATTTGCAATGTGGTGATGCTACTAGGGGCTCCGGCATCGCTACTAGGAGCAAGGACACTACTGGTATGCCTCAGGTGTAGCGTCCAGGTGCATTAGCATCGCAACAGTGGTTCGTGAGGAACGTGAAGACAGCGGAACGCAAGAAATCTGAGGTCAGTCAAACAGTGAAAGGTCTGCAGGTCTTGTTGCTAGTAGCTTCTTGTTCCTAGCAGTAAGGCCAGGAGCTGCTAGTAGCGTCCTTGCTACTAGTAACGATGCCCTTGTTACTAGCAGGCTTATGCCCTTGGTGTTGGGGGAGGTGGGAGAGTTTGGGGAGCAGATGTGACGGAGAAGGTTTGGCAGATGAGGGGTAAGGAGGACCTAGATCGTTGGTTTTAACAGAAAACCATCCTCAATTTCTTGACGCGAACGGCCGTTCTGCGATGTGGTTGAAGCGAATGGATCTGAATCGGCTCAGCTGAGACCTTCAAGCAGAGGTGTGGACCTCGAACTAACCACAGTACCATGTCCACAATAGCAATGGCCTCCAACCTAGCAGCTATGGCCTCCTTAATAACAATCCATACGCCACAATCAAACATTTCCACCTAAAGACGTAGCCATCGAGCAATCAAGGCTTTTAGCTCCGCCGGGTTATCGTTTTCAGCTCTACAAGAGCTTCCTCCGCCGCCGCAAATTGTGGAGGAATGCTCACAGCCGTCTCCGCATCCACTCAGGGCGGCAGAGAGGACCCAGTCAAGGCACAAGTCAAACCTAAGAAACTTAATGAACTTAAGGAAGAACCTAGAAGCAATGGCCTCCAACTTAATAGTGATGGCCTCCAACCTAGTAGCAATCCATACTGTACACCATGACTGGTTTTGCATTTGGTCTGGGAGTCAGCCTGTCATCCGCTTTTTGGGGAGCAAAACGGACGCAGTCGCACCGTTGCCAAGTGTCAGTATATGGCAGCACCCGGCAGAAGGTAGCTTCGTGTTCCTAGTAAGGCCAGGAGCGCCCCTAGTAGCGTCCTCTTGCTCCTAGTAGCGATGCCTTGTTACTAGCAGGCTTATCAACAGCCGCGGGTTGTTTGCGAAGCCCAGCCCAGCCCAGCCCGACTGTCCCGACCCTTGTGAAAATCGCTCAGAGACATGTGCCAATATGAAGCGATGCAAGAAGAATAGCGCTGAACATCGTGAATCCACTCCATGAGCGAACAGTGCTATGCTTGGAGCCACTGTTCCACCAAGGACAAAAACACATACTGTTCAATTTCTTTTAGTTATTATCTCTTGGAATAGCCTGGCAGGGGGAGGGGGTTATTAGGCTCTGAGGAGGTAGAAACTTAGACTTAGACTTAAGCTCCTAGGTTGGAGGTTATCGCTTTTAGGTTTGGAAGCCATCGCTATTAGGTTGCATTTGCTAGTAGGTGGGAGGCCATCCCAACAGAACTGTCCGGGTTGCGTTTATGCCACGGCCTTGTTGTGAAATGATGGAGAAGGGAACAGGAGATCAGACTGCAGACAAAATACACATTGCAAAAAATAATCTTTCTAAAGCATGCTTCTGTAAACTTTAACTCATGGGCTTTGCATACGCTTTGCCTTTCCAGGTACGCAGAGATCTTGGCGAATTCTGGTCGTCTCACTGCCGCCATGCGGTATCTTTGCTTACTCGCAGGCATTGGAATTACACCGCAGACCCCAAACAGTTGACCGCTGTATATCTGCATCTCGAAAACTGACCATTGGAAGGTATTGCTTTTGAAGGCGGACACACGACACTAGCGACTGAGAGACAGACCGCAGACAAATGTTTGGTGAAAAATGGCTACAGAGTTGCCAAAAGGCGGGCGCGCCAGGATAGACTCAAGGCATACAAAGTGTTTCCCGTAAGGCGGACACATCAACCCAGATTGGGAGACCAGCAAAGAGAGTTGCTACTAACAAATCGCCAGAAAGCAGGCACACTCTGCCGAACACTGGCGACAAATGTAAAGAATTGCTGCCGAAGGTAGACGCATGCAAAGACATGCTTCGCCAGAAGATGGACGCGCTGGCCCAGACTGGGGGTCAAATTGCTATAAGAGAGTTGCCAGCAGGCGGACGCGCCCGACCGCGATTATGGAATTGCTGGTGAGAAGTCGCGAGAAGGCGGATCAGTAGGCCGGCGGAGACGCTAACCCAGACTGGGAGAAGAACAGCTACTTAAGGAGTTGCCATGCAGAAAGCAAGCGCAGGTGTTGCCTGAAGGTGGATGGCCCAAACTGAGAGACAAAGAAAACATTGCTACTGCGGTTGAAAGGTTGAACGAATGTATAGAATCTGGGAGACAAATGTGCAGAATTGCTACTTTTGTTGAGAAGGCGGGCGTGCCAGCCCATGGGAGAGTTGCCACAAAGCGGGCGCACTCGCCCAGCTGGGAGACACATGTATACTAAGTGCTACAAAGGACCTTGCCAGAAGGCGGACACACTACCCCAGACCGAGACGCAAAACAGAATTCACTAATTCCAATAGTCAACTGCTTGGGAATACTAGTAGCAAGAAGCTATTAGAATCAAATTAACTACTAGCTTCTTGCTACTACTAGTAAGGCACTTGTTCCTAGTAGCGATGCACTTGTTCCTAGCAGCGAACATTGTTTCTAAAAAGCTTCTTGTTACTAGTAGTAAGGCACATTGTTCCTAGTAGCGATGCACTTGTTCCTAGTAGGGAACATAGTTTCTAATATATAGCTTCTTGTTACTACCAGTAAGGCACTTGTTCCTAGTAGCGATGCGCTTGTTCCTAGTAGCGAACATTGTTTCTAATAGCTTCTTGTTTCTACTAGTGAGGCACTTGTTACTAGAAGCGATGCACTTGTTTCTAATAGCTTCTTGTTACTACTAGTAAGGCACATGTTACTAGAAGCGACGCACGTGTTTCTAATAGCTTCTTGTTACTACTAGTAAGGCACTTGTTCCTAGTAGCGATGCACTTGTTCCTAGTAG